ATACTATAAGTTAATATATCCTATATTATTTTATTATTTTTGATATACTATTAGTACATCATTTGGCAATTAGTATACCGAAGTTTTTCTTTCGATCGATATATGTGGCCTGTTCTAACATGTACATGTCGGTCGGTGTGTCTTGCAGGAAGAAATCAGAGCGAAGCTGCCGAAATACCAACGTCGTGCCGATGAGCCGCGATCGGTGCCGTCAGAAGCAAGCCAACAGCAACAGCAGCAGGTTGCCGCGCTGCAGCAAGCACAGCAACAGCAGCAGCAACAGCAAGCGCAGCAGCAACAGCAGCAACAGCAAGCGGCTGCTGCGAACGCGGCCGCCGCGTTTCAGGATCAGCAGCAGCGGCAGCAGGCGGTTGCGCTGAGCGCGTTGCAACAGCAACAGCAACAGAGGTTTCCGAGGCCGCCGCAGGTGATGGTGCCGGCCTCGGCGGCCGCGATGCCTGTGAACTCAGTCGCCTTAATGGCACCACTTATGCGACACACGATGACATTAGCCGCGCCTGCTCTCATTCATGGAGGTAACATGATGCGACCGCCCCCCATGGGCATGCCACCAGGTAAGTCTCTACGGGTTTGAGCTCCGCAAAATCTCCGCGGCCCTTCCTTTATGCCATCGCCGCCAATTCCCTCGTCTGTTTATCTCTCCCTCGGCCGTAGTGGACATTACGAGGATACTCCTTCCTTCGAAATATCACTCTCCGCCGATTACTGAGCGTTCTCTGCGGCTGTTTTGCATCTTGATGCGAAAGCGAGCGTCTCTTTGAGCCTCTCTCGCTCGCGAGAATCCACAGCCGCTTATAACAGACGCGAGTCCGTCGCGTCGGGATGCAGAAACCGAATTTCCGATGGAATATCTTGTTTCTTCTTTTCTCATTCTTCTTATGATGACTCTTGAACGCTTGCGTTAAATTCTGTATGCTAATTTTCAGTCTCTTTCTTTTCTTAACCGAATTTGTTGCTTGTGGAAATACTTTTATGGTCTAGAGTTTTTCAACTCTTTGTTGAAAATTGATTGAGTACTATGTGTGATACATATGTTATATTTAGTACAGTATTAAAGGCTTAATTTCAATTCTGCCAGGTGCAGAGGTTACTCAAACCGCGCATCATGATAAGACGCTACTTCATGCGTGGTATATTGAAAAATTGCTTTTGTTTCGTCATTTCTCATCGATGAACCAAGATTCCATCGGAAATCCAAGTCATATCCTTGTACATGACTGCGTGAACGCAACTTTCATCTATTACCCCTACCTAGTTTCGCGCGGTTGATATTCGATAAAGTATCCTATCTTACACGGGAAAAAAATAAGACGGAAGAAGAAAGTGGAAGCTAAGTACTTTTTGAACGATAATCGACAGTTTTATCTCTACTTGCGTCAAATTATATTCGCCGTGACAGTTGACTTTGTTGTTCGAGAGAAGTTATAATTAAACGTGCTGTAAGAAAAGATAACGAGAGTGATAAAACGGATCGGGAGAGGGCAGGAGTCAGAAATTTAATGACGTGTGCGTGAAATTATTATCTTTAAAAGAAACAAATAGAGAGAGAGAGAAAGAGAGAGAGAGAGTGTGTGTGTGCGTGTGCGCGTGCGTGTGTGTGTGTAAGAAAGAGATAGAAGCGAAAAGAATCACGACCACTGTCCGGTATAACTGTTAGCACGCTCTCAAGATTTTTCAAGCGTACACCAGATTTCAATTTCACGACACAGCGTGTCTTGTGCGTTCACGTTTTTTTAACGGTGCGTTTGCAGGGCGCCCGGTCACTCCTTGGTGAGTGTCGAACGAACCCAGTCTGGTTACTAAAACCGCGTTTTATACCAAGCGCTACAAAGGTTGGTCCTTAGCAATTAGCATGCGGTGACATGGCCTATATACATATATCTATATATATACACATATATATATCTATATATACATATATATCTTGTTATATTTATTATTCTTATATCTCGTTAATTAATCTTATATTATTACTATCATATATCATTGTCATTAATCGCATACATTTATTACGTATACGTGTATAATATATACGTACAGCAGCTCGCGCAAATGTTCGGAGGCTGTCGTTCACATCCGGGACTCACTCGTGTCGCCGACTCGAACAGCTTTCGCGAGCTACCGTGGGTATATATTTCCGTATATTTATATTATATTGTCACTGGGCAGGTTGGGTCGAGCGGCCAACGACACGTACCTCCTACTTCCATCCGTGTTCCAATTTCTCCGACGAACGCCACGAAAGATCGCACTTTGATTTTGACGGGGACCCTCGAGTCCGGGACTTCGTGCAAAATGCCTTCACTCGTAGAGACTAGAGTAACGGAAATTAATATCGTAAACAGTAGACATAACAATATAACGATAAAAGTGCAAGAAATCGGTCGTTATATAATTGGCGCACCTACTCTGTTACGTCTCCAAATTATCTCATTTTCTGTATTTCATCTTTATCGATACGTTTCTCGTTTGTGTACGACGCTCTTGCTATTTTTCCGGCCAATGACAGAGTATGAAAGATTATATACACACAATTCTTTTTCTTTATGTTTTATACAATCAATTTTTTACGAGAATAGAGAGAAAGAGAGAGAGAGAGAGAGAGAGAGAGAGAGAGAGAGAGAGACTTCCGGCCGCTCGGCCGTTATATTATTTATATCGTGTATAATTTTTTTGTTTATTTCTTCCGTTTCTTTTTAGCTTCTGTATTCACTCTCTCGATTTAACTATGTTTTTACTCTTCTTATACGACTCACTCGCCATTATTTACCTTGCCAACCGTGTTACCATCCTGTCTCTCTTCAGTATTACTTATATATATATAGCTTGGAATCCTGGTGTTGTGATATAGTAGTGGAGAAACTGCTTTTTTGGGCACGGTACTGACAGTCGTTCACAGTTGTCTTCGTTCCTAAAGAAAAAACAAACAAATATAACTACAGAAATAAGACAAAAGAAAAAAAAGAGAAAGAAAGAAAGAAACTCTAACTGCAATAACTTTCGCGCGGTAATTTTCTCTCACGATTTGTCCCTTCCTTCTTTTTTTACCAGATAATTTACATTACTAGATAATTACCCGATCGGAGGAGACAAGCCAATTCCAAATTGCACAAAGAATTTAAAAACGAAGGATTCGCGCTGCTTGTGAATGAGACACGATAAAAATTACAATGAGAAATATGGACTGATAAACGAGTAAATGAAAAGGTAAAGAGGGAAGGGATCGAGTTATGTTCTCACTGTGCCCGCCGGTGCATTTCATTTGATTTCTTTTTCTTTTCATGGAAAATTCTGAGAAACTAGCAACGAGAACGAACGTAATGTATCTCCCTCACACACTATAGCCTAGCTTTTGTGTTACACGAAAGATCTTAGATTAATGAAAAGAAAAAAAAAAACGAAACAAAAAAAGAAATGTTGAGCCGACCAACAGTAAGTAAACGACTTCACGTTACTCAGTATGCCTTACGTAACTCTTACGCTCGATCGAGGATCCGCGATTAACAATTCCGTCTTCGGTGACTTCACTCTTGTCAAGCAATTAGAGAGAACGCGTCGCGTAAAAAAGAAAGAAAAGGGAAACTGCACTTTTCATCGGGCAATTTCGATATTTTATTGACGAATTGCGTCGATATCGATTTATCGCGTCGTGGTGTCTCGATACTTTCTCACTTCTGACTTTTAAAGTTAACGTTTCTGGGGTGACATGTCCGGGCGGGGGGGATGAGTGACAGCTGAGCGGTCGGCGGGCTTTGTTAATATCGTATCGATCGCGCGTTCCCAAGCGAGACTCGTGTATACTTTGTACATGGTGTGAGTTTCTTTTTATTGTGTGACATACCACCTTTGTCAGTTTTTTTCTTTTTTATTTATGACTTGTATTGCGTATGCTGCGCACTGCATGCTAAGCTGAGTTCTCTCTTCGTATACGTACACGTATATATACCTATATATTTACCGTGAATAAAAAAAGAAAAACGTGCATCCATCATTCTGTCTGGTGTAAATTTCCACGAAAAGAGGAAGAAATATATTTTGCTGCAAAATCACACAAAGGGACATGCGTCGTTTCTCTTTTATTTCTATTGATCATATATATATATATATATATATATATATATATATATGTATATATATATACACATACATACATAGAGCAGCAACATTTCGTCCTTTCGTGCGAAACTATATTCCGCCGAGAGAGAAAATGAGGTGTGCAAGATGCTTTTTTTATTCACTGTATATCTAGTTTGGCGATTCGCATTTAATGAGGTTGGTTGCTGGGTAGAACGTAGGTGTACTGCCGAACAGGAACGATCCTGTAACCAGATGCGTGATGTAGTTCTTTAGAAAGAGAGAGAGAGAGAGAGGGAGAGAATATGTATACTCTCGGGAAAGTTGCGCAAATTTTCGCAAAAAAGTATACTTCGCTTGGGGGTTAAACGCAAAATTCTCGCTCGGCCGACTAACAACACACTCGTCAGCAATTAATAGACAATAGAGACCGCACGCGAATTATAGTATTTAGAGATCTTGTGCTGACTAAACTCGATGTAAACTTCTTTTCGTTGCAACAATCGATCGATCAGCTGTCACACGACTATCCTCTCCAACGGTGAGATTATCTCACGAACCTCTTGTTCTGAAGAACGAGACGCGTGATCTTCCAAAAAGATATAAAGCAAACCGCGTGTCGACGTCACGCGGGTTACAATGTAACGTGAACAGTCGCGACGTAAGTACCATTACGAATAGTATACGGGATGTTTCCGACTTGAACAGAGTCAACTTTGGAAAGCGCACTGGGGCATCCCGAAGCCAAGAAGAGTTCACGCGAATCTTTCTTTTGCTGTTTCGGCAGTCTCTTGTTGCGTTGTCAAGGTTTGCTCCATTGCTCTGGAAACGACCGGTATACTGAGGATCCTTCAAAGAGTGAGGATGACTGAGAGTGAGAATAAGAGAGAGAGAGAGAGAGAGAGAGAGAGGGGGAGAGAGAGAGAGAGAGATTCCACGTGGCGTTTGCGACGTCGCAGTGGTCGAACACCCACTCGCACGTGTCCGCTCGCACGTGTCGCGTCGTGCTTTCTTTCTCGCGAGATTTTGCTGGTCGCGGATCGTACTGATCGACTACTGTGTTACCTTGCAGGTATGATAGGAGCCATACCACCGGGTGCGATGCATCCGGCCTTCCCCATGGGATTTCCGGCGCCGATGCTAGCACCGATGATGCATCCACGCTTCAGATGATCGCCCCCCATGGACGGGCCCAATCCCCCGCCGTTGCACTTCGTGCTGTGGGCCCGCCCCTAAGTCTCGCTGGGGTTCGGACCTGACCGAGGAAGAGACACGGACACACATAGTTGACACGACGAGAAAAACAGGGGAGAGATATGAGATACGGAAAGAGAAGGAAAGAGAGGGAGAGAGAGAAAGAGAGAGAAAGAGAGAGAGAGAAAGAAAGGGGAAAAGATAGTGGGAGTCGATTCGCGCGGTGAAGCTTTCGCACCTACTTTGATTCACACCGCGCAATCCGACCGCATCCTCTCCCATTGCAACGTTTGGATGATTCAAGATCCTTGTTCTTTTTTTTCTAATCATATCGTTGAAAGACAAAGAGGAAACTACACAGACAGACAGAGACAGAAAGAGAGAGAGAGAGAGAGAGAGAGAGTGAGTGAGAGAAAGGGAGAGAGAGAGAGTGGGAGGGAGAGAAAGAGAAAGAAAGGTTGACACACACCGCACGCCCACGTCAGTGCCTGAGAGGATTTTTTCGAAAAGCCAATGCGCGCTGGAAACGGTCGGTTTCTTCGTCCTCTTCTTCTTTTTCTTCTGCCTCCTTTATCACTGTCTTTACCTACCGCAAAAATTTCAAGAAAACAAATGTTGTTCATTCGACGCGAGAGCGTCATCTCCAATTTGTGAGATCTACTTTAAATATGAATTAGTATCTAAAATGGATCTCACAAATTGTGAATTGTTTCGCTTTCGCGACAAACTCTTCGATTACGGCAGTGGAGCAATCACGACATAAAAAAATGAATTAATTGTATTTTCGAGAACAACGAAATGCCATGTGCCATTCCTCATATTTCCTTTCAAAGAGAGAGAGAGAGAGAGAGAGAGAGAGAGAGAGAGAGGGAGAGAACGAGAGTTTGAGAATGAAAGAGATCCTGCTCCTTTCGCATCAGTAGACCGTTTCCACGCGCTGTCCCTCAGCCTCTGTATCAGTCCTTTTGGAGGAGACGCGATCGCGGACAAGGTGGCGCTTCACGCTGCAGCTGGACTTGATTCGCGATCCTCTCAACTAAAGTAGAGTTCTCGAGCAAGTTCTCTGAGGACGGTATTTATACTTCAGTCTCTTACAAAATTGCCTCGAGTATATATATGATTTCTCAAGTTGCTACACGGCTGTTTAGTCGGCCGAGCAGCATCTTAAGGTCACCCAAGGCCGTACTTGAGACGATTTAAATACACACAAGGTCGGATTATAAATATCATTCTAAGAGAGCGGGCGGTCCCTCTCGGGGCTGCACCGTTTCTGTAATGCTCGAAGCTTCTTAATTTTCTTCTCGCGATAACCAAGCTGACTCTCGAGGTAAGAGGGCTCGCGGTGTCCGGAGTGATCGAATACGCATCTTAAAAGCGCGCAGTTTTAGAAATCTGATTCTTGATTCGCTTTTCTCCGAATCCAGAATGTTCTATGTACGCTCTGACTTTCCTCGTTTCAGGAAAAGTCAACTTGTGTATCTCACGTCGTGGCTTAAGCGCGATCAAGTTCAAAAACTTGATCTTCCTTCAGGATCTCTTTCTGACGAAGGTACTCAGCGATCTCATGATTTAGCTGTGAGATTTTTTGCGATTGATTTTTTGCAAAAAGAGTTACGAATAACAGATTTAATTTTTAACGCGTTAAAAAAGAAGAGTATGAATTATATTGGGTATCGAGTAGAGCTCGAGTTTATTAGGGTATGATTACAAGGTGTATAATCTTTTTTTATTTTAAAAATTTTCTTTATTATTTTTATTTTGTGGTGTTCAGGTCGATTATATATGATGCGTCCTCGATCGCTCCGTATAAGATAAAATCCAGCGTAATTCTTTTGTCCCCGGGGCGGTAAGTTAAATCCCTGTGGTTCGTTCAGGGTGTTATTGACGGCGGAGAATAGTCTCGGTACGATACACGTTTTGTCGAAGCAGAATCAAGAGAGCCGGAATCAAGAGAGCATAGATTGATTCAAAAAATTTGGCCACTCTCACGACACACACGTTTACAGTTTAGAACATTTGCTAGCCGCAGTGTGAAGATTCGCTCGCCTCAGGTTAGTCTGTCGCAAATTTTATTTTGTTAACACTACGGTCAAGTCGATGTACTCCAGCGACACGGCGAGAAACGGAGGAAATTGATAACTCAAAAAGTAACCATTTGACAGAAACTGAATTGGGATTCTGATTTTTCCCGGAGGAAGATGTGTTTTCGAGTATTGCTCTACTCAGTTTAATATCTTGTCTAATCGGTGATAGATTTGCAAAATTCAAAATCGACAAATTTTTATTTTTGCTAATTAGTCGACTGTCCAAACGTTCATGCGACATTTGTAGAGGTTACTGGCGAAATCGCAGTTTGGAAATTGCGGAAGAATATTCGAAAATTTAGAGAGACGTCATCCGGTTCATAAATTCGCGAATACATGGAACAAATATGTTCATCGATTATTCGAAAGATTCGGACGAATTTCATTTGCGCTGTGCTGAAACGCACGATCCACTCGAAAACGCCGGGTCGACGATGAGAGTATAATCGGCTTGGCTGCTGAAAAAAAGAAAAAAAAGCCCCCTTTTCCTTTGCAAGGAACATGTCGGCGACGCATGAGTGAGTGGTAAGTACGGAGGGTGCTCACGGAATCGAACACCAGCTCTCTACACTCGACTCACGCCGTTTTCTTCACTTTTCCTTTACCACGTCACCAGTTTGCCGCCGATCGTAGAGCGCATTCTCTTGATCCTTGTGCATTGAATCCGTGCTGACACTTTACACACTTTACGTCCGTTCACTACGATCACGCTGTATCGGTGTTCTGACGATTTTAGCGACAGCAAAAGCCTCGATATAGCGTGCGCTATACACCCTCCAGTCTGCTCTACGATCGGAAATGCTCGATTTCTTCGTCCTACTCCACAGCAAAGACGCGGACTCTCTTACCCCATTCCCATTTCTGTCTTCTAACTGGCATTCTTCCCCATTCTATTCTATCTATCTTTCGTCTACTTAACATTTTACCTTCTACGCTGTTATAAATCTCCTCAGGGTGTCTATTGACCACGGTGATTACGGGTTGTTCTTTTTACGTGTTTCTCATCGCGATCCTCGAGCTCGCCTATTAGGGATTCTTCGTAGAGAAACTCTGCTTCTAGAGGAAGAGAGCCGATCCCGATAATGAAGTCAAACTTGACTTCACTAGAGGGGCTGTAAAAGATCGGTCAGGGCGTCTGTTTCGACTTAAATGGATATTAACGAGATCCATGGCTGCAAAATCGCCACTCGTTACGATCAGTTCAAAATGAGCTGAGCGTGGTGTCGTTTTCTGTCGTATTCGCGCGCCTCAGTAGGCACCCTGCTAGTTTTCTATACTTTCGACATGATTCTCTGAACCATCTCGCTCTGTCATCATCGTCATCATCATTATCACCATTATTCACCACCATCACAGTCACCACCGTCACCACCCGGTACCAACACCTCCTCGACAAATAAAAGAAATACGAAACAGCATTGAAAGCGCGCCGTACAACACGTGTACGTACCTAATCTACGCATCGTTATTATAATCCTTTATTTTTCAGGGGTTGTCTTTTCGAATCCGCTCACCGCGGGAGCACCGCCTTCTCTCTTGCACAGTGTACAACGAGCTCTTCATGTGTTTTGCGTGTCCCTCCGCGAGTCGTCAAGATGGATCGTCGATGACCACTTAAGAGCCTAAGAAAAAAACGAGAAACGTTTTCTTTCTTTCGTAAGTGCCTGAATAGATACGCGTGTTCGACAACGACGAAAAGGAAACCTTTGAGAGAAAAATATGTCTAGAGGTATCGAGTTATGTGCTTTCTAAGTTTCTTGGAGTGGAATTTTACTCGAGAAGTAGTGTGACCATCGAGTCACACGAATTCGAATGATTTTGAGTTCTCGTGCTCAATTTATCACTCTGAACGGTCGAGTGAATATCTTCACGCTCAAAATGGAAGAGTGAATCTGATGTCGCGATGATATATCCACTCTGATCAATTGAAACGTTCGCATTTCGGAGCCAAAATCCACTCTAAGTTTGAGTGAAAGCAATCACTCTTGCGACTTGGTGTATTTTCGCTATCACTTGAAATGAGAATATCAGCACTTTCCACTCGTCTCGAATAAGATTCCACTTTCTAAGAAATTTAAACAGTTAACATCGCAATCATGGTATTAAGTGGTTATTCTCGATCTGTCGTGTTATAAAATTAAAAAAAAAACCCGAGGAAAAAGATCACGAGAAGTGAAAATTTCCAAGTCGAGTCGCGCGTTTTGTAGTTGAAAATGAATCTTCTCCGCGAATGTTCGTGTTATTCGTACGAGATTGACAAAATTGCGAGGAACACGAGACTAGAGAATTTCGCGGTCGAAGCACCCAGGAGTTTTCCCTCGGTCCTTCAAGGGAGGCAAAAGAAAGGCGTGCGTTCTCGCTCCCAGCGATTCGGCGGGACAATCTGACGGCAGAATTGGACATGTAGAAGTTCTGTTATTTATTGAGTGTCATATTATCGACTGTTCCGAATAAAGACGTTCTGTGGAAAGCTTCGAAAGTTTGGGCATAGTCTGCTGTTCTGGGATATGCGTCGCCGTAGGGTGATCAGCGATCTCGTCAATTTCGCATTATCTCCGACGCCGCCGTACAGATGATAACAACGCGTGTCGTGACGCGCAATTCCATTAATGATGTATCCGACGCAAGTATCCCAGAATTGCGGGCGACAGCCACATATTGTTTCAACCAATCACAGCTCTCACCGCTGTTGGACCTAATCGGTCCCTTGCCTCAAGGCAGGCGATTGTTTGGACCTACCGTCCTAGAGTCGAGACAACCGAGTCGACCTCCCGATTCTCTCAGATCGATCGGGAAGAGCGAGCAGCGGGTGCGCCCTCGCCACCCTGAGAGATAATCTCAAGCTCTCGTTTCCTGTCGAATGTTCAAGCAGGTCGGCCAGAGAGAAATGAACTCGGGAGTCTCGCGAGGTGCTCGGCTCCGCGGACGCGTGGCTGGACCGAGAAACAATATTAATCGTTATGTCGGTTAACGAGTCGCGGGTGAATTAACCGATCGATCGTTCGGAACGTCGAAACGAGAGAGGGAGAGAGAGAGAGAGAGAGGGGGGAAAAGAAAGATTGACGGTGGGAGGGAGGGAGAGACAGAATGAGTGGATAAATGTGTGTATGTGAGAGAGATAGAAAAAGAGAGAGAGAAAGAGAAAAGATTGCAATTAGCGCATGTATCTTATCGGCGAATTTTAATCCTTTCAAGACTGATCTTTGGTCGCTTGGCTTTTGTAGAGAGAGAAAGAGAGACACGCATCATCCCCCGATTAACACTTTTCCTATAATTGGCAATTATATGTGTCGCATAGAGATCGTTTGAAATTATTTCCGCGGATATATCGGTAACTCTTGTTATGATCATTAACTATAGTGTATGTGTTGATATGTTGATATAATTAGATTATATATATAGATAATATATTTCTCCTGGGTTATTTTGAGTCGTCGATGCTTGAGAAAGCGGTCGGTACCAGTTTGTCGCGCGTAAACGTGTCCGTATGATAAAGATTATCACTTCGCGAAATCACGAGAGTGTTCCGTAAGATGCGACGTGCTTTTCCGCGAAGTAATAATTTTCGTTCTCGAGACACACACGAACGACGTTCTCGCACGACAGAGTAACTGAAGACGCCGTTTGAATCCGCGTTGATTAAGAAAAAAAAAAAGAAAAACGGTCCTCCAAATTTCTCTTGCTATTTCGTTTCTCCTCTACTACTTTTTTTTCCCTCCCTTCTCCAGTCATTTTCTCGCATTGTCCCCGAAGTGTTGAAAGGGTTAACGATTGCTGCACGAGGATGATGCACAATTGCAGCGAACCGTGTCATTGGATTAATCGCGAACGTTTTCGGGTTTTGTGCCTGCGCTCGGCGTTTTCTCTCTTCTGTTTTATTTATTCTTTGTGTTTTCTTTTTTTTTTTGTTTCTTTCCTTTCTAGCGACCAAATTCGCGAAGAGCGAACAATTCGTCACGACTCTCGTTCGACAGTTCGATCGTTCGTAGAATGCTTAGCTGGCTCTATATGTATGCAAGGTATCTCATTCCTGCCGTATTATTTATTGACTATGCGTTCTCTGGACAATTTGGAACTCCCCAGCGAAAGTGTCGAAAGCAGCGGTAATTTTTTACTTGGAAGCGATTGGAAGAAAAAAGAACTCTGCGCGAACTAAATTCAGGTAACGAATGGATGCCATGAACTACATTGCTCAGTTGATTCAAGATGAAATTCGCTGTGTGAAGATTTCAATTTAGTCGCAACGACATACATTGTCGAGAATTGGACAATTGCGAGAGAAAAATGTTGATTTTCTTCGATTTTTTCGCTGGAAAATAATCATCTCAAAATTGCCCAGAACTACTCAATGCTATTGCGAAATAATACGGTGCAAGTGGCATATCTTGTATATGTATATATATTTATATATATATATATTATAATATATATATGTATATATTATATATATACATACATACATACATACATATTATATATACATTTATATATATGTGTATACCGATGCGTCCTGTACAATCTCGCGCTCACGCGCGAGAACCTTGCCTCTACTTTTAATATCCTCGTATCCTCCCGCCCTTACTTTACGCTAATAATGTCTTTACACTTGGTGACAGCGGATGCACGATTCGCTCGTGGGGATCGCTTTTGCTCGACGAACCGGTAACACGGTCCGCTCTTTGTCATCCTTAATACTATCGTTCCGCGGCGTCGGTCCAACCGGGAATTTAGCGCTCCTTCGCGAATGACTCTTGACTCCGAGGCGTCTCTCTCTCGTTGTCGCCTGACAATTAATTCGCGTCCGAGAGCAAAATCGAGAGAAACCAATCGTAAATCCTATCTTATTCCGTTATATTTTATATATATATAAAATAATATATAATAAAATATATATAATATATATAAAATATATATTATTAATATATTATATATATTATATAGAGGGGAACATCTGAGACATAGTGGGACATAGTCGATAACTTTTTACGGAGATACTACCATGTAATTAAATGTTTTGCAATTATTACTGTTAGATGTCTCTTACCTCGTATTATTATCAGTTGTCATATTATTTTGAGCTGAAAGATAGTATAAATTGTTTAATGCGTTTGCTGCGTTCTCCGCAACTGCGTTGCAATTTGTTTGCTACATTACACAAGATAAATAATGATAAGATCCTTCGTTTTATTATCGTATTAGACGATCTAGTTTTGTCGTTTCAGTTAAATGCTTGTACACATATCGATTGTCTATGGTATTTTGTACTATATCCAAATTTATACCTTTCGAGGTGTAACAGGATCCTATTATATTCTTAAATAAAATATGTATAACAGGATCCTATTATATTCTTAAAATGTTAAGTTGCATTATTTCTTATCATATGTTACATTTCAGAAAATTGATACCAAGAATTACCATATTAAATAATAAATGTTACTAATAGTTTAATAAGAAAAAAGTAGTTTTATTGTTTTATAAGGAAAGTGTTGTTAATAAATAATTATAAATAATTAAACGTGCAATAATACATATTTTTATATATTGCATGTTTTAATGAGTCGTTTTTAAAATCTTTCCGAAATCAATGGTTGGGAAATATACAAGTTTTGTGAAGTATCCCACTTTGAAGTAGAAAGCATAATGAGGTTAATTCACGCTTTCAATAAAACAATAATTTCGTCCTTTTAAATTATTTTTTTGCAATAAAACTTGTGTTCCTCTTATAGTGAATTTTAAAGAATATTTTGATGCAAAATTGTTTATTTATTTTTAATATGTTTGAAACTTGTTTAAACTTTAGTGTTCTCATTATGTCCCGGGTTCCTCTATAATATATATAACATATATTTTTAATATTAATTAATATATTATTAGTATATATTATATATTCTATATAATTGTTTTTT